ATATATATATATATATATATATATATATATATATATATATATATGCATATACATGTGTGTATATATATAAAAGTTCAATATTATAAATAAGAGTAAAAAAATGATAATTTATTTTGCTTACATCTATATTTTAATTCTCTTACCCCAAAAGTATTTTATTTAAGTAAGAGAAATATACTTCCAGGAAAGGAACTGGAGTAATAGAGGAACACGCGCGTAAACGGAATAAATTCTTTTTATTTGTTATTCTGGTGTGAGTAACTTTTTCACACCAAACTTACTCCGCGCATTATAGACGAACCTTACAAGTTTTACTGTCTATATTTTTTTGTGTGCGCCTAGTCATAAAATCAAAGAAACGTAAATTGTATAACGCGCGGCTTACAGTTCACAAAATTCGAATTTCAGCTTTCAAGATATTTCGTGCGCAAGAACTGTTTCGATCTCTGCGTCGCAGAGTAGCTGGCTTATTTTCTATCGAAGTAATGTCGAAATGAGGCGCTCGTGTGTGAATTACTCACTTGTGTTTATCGCATTCTCGCTTCAGCGAACAACGGCTGCATTTTGTGCCAGCAACTCCCAGTTTCACGACTGCAGATTAACCAACGTAAGGCTCTGAAACTCGAGTATTGAATTCGTTTCTTGTAGGTTGGTATGGAAAGGAAGCCGAAAGGTCCGCTGAAACAAACTAGGTGGTAATGCAAAGTTTCCCTAGAAGCGAGGACAAGGTGCAAAAAGAGCAGTGTTACGAGAATTCAACGATTTGCCGATCGTGAAGCTTTTCAAGGTATAGAAACGTGAAATTTTACACATGAAACCTTTTAGAGCCGATTTTTTCAGCTCTTGGTAAGTTCTTACTAACATTTAAATTATATCTTTTGGTCTGTTCTTTTTAGCTGAACTAGTGCAACAAGTTACAATGGGACAAGTATATTTTTCTCACTCTAACTTATTACATTAATTCAGCTGTGCAATTTAAAAGAACAGATTGTTTTCTTTGCTTCTTTTCAAATTATCCCTTGTCCACAACCTTGCTTTAATCTTTAAGCCGTAATAAATTGGCCAACCACAATCGATTATTTTAAAAATAATCAACTGTGGTTAGTCAATTTCTTACGGCTTAAGAATTAAAGCAAGGTTGTGGACAAGGAGTTAGACAAGTGGTCTTTTTAGCTGCACTGCTGAACTGATGCAATAAGTTTAAGTGAGACAAGTATATGTTTTCTCACTCTAACTTATTGCACCAGTTCAGCAGTGCAGCTGAAAAGAACAGACCAAAGGATTCATATGATTTAACTGTTAACTTGCATTCGATATTAACCAAGATTGCATTCGATATTCACTACTAGTATTAAAAATTACTACTATTAAAAATCTATATAATATGTGACATAAACTATAGATTCTCAATACTAATAATGAATATCAGAGAACAGGCTAAAGCCCGTATCAGACTACCGACTACGACTGCCGACTTTCAATGGACCAATCATAATGAGGCGCCGAGTCAGCGCCTCACTATGATTGGTCCATTGAGAGTCGGCAGTCGTAGTCAGCAGTCGGGTCGGCCTGTGCAGTCGGTAGTCTGATATGGGCTTAAGGGCCAGTCTTTCATCATCTCCATTAACTTAATCGATCGATTAATTCTATTTAATCCATTAAAATTAACCAATCGTATTTATCGTTGAGCAGAATTGATCAATCACAGTTGACATTTAATTGGCCAATTAAAGCTGCGTTCAACTATTCACTCACTGTCAGTACTAAAAATCTATAGTAAATGCGTAATATGAACTATAGATTTTCAGTACTGTCGTGAATATCGAACACGGCCCCTAACCCGGCAAGCAGAAGGCGTTTGCGAATTGGCCAACCTGCTGGCGCCGGTTCCTTCTGCAGCGGTTTACCAACATGGCAGACACCACGGATGAGAAGCTGTCGAAAAAGTGAGTAGAACGTTGGACACGAACACCATACTCACTCGTGACGAGAGGTTATCGACGCTCGCGTCGCTCTGGAGTGGCTTCACCACACGCGTGGCTTCACCGACGTGATCCGAGAACGACATATGACATCGGCTCGCCGCACCACGTGCTGTTCCCGCGTTGCTCCCGAACACGCGAGCCATACTTTTTCCGCAGGTGACCGGTATTTCGCACAGCGATCGGGACTCGGGCAAACGCGTCGCGTCAGTAAGCCTAGTATCGTGACGCGATCATGCTCGCTAATTTGATCAAAGCTCGCGCTGTCTTCACACAGTCGTTTGCGCGAACGTGGCTAACATGCCACGAGGCAAAATTGCTTCAGATGTCTCTACGGCGCCGCTCCACGACGTGCGTAACGATTCCCTCAATAGCCGACTCTGAGGTCAATACTCGGGAGAATTGTTGAAAGAACATTCCGATTACAGCGAGCTGAAGAGACGCCTCAAAGCCGAGCAGAAGGCCAAGGAGAAGGCTGGGAAAGAGGCTAAGGCAGCTGAAGCTAAGGAGCAAGCTAAGAATGCCGAGAAGAAGATTGATCTCGAGGAAGAAATTAGCGCAAATGTAAATTGTAACATGAGCTTTGTGAGATAGGAAAAGTAGATAGAAGTATAGGGAATACGCATGATCATTTGCTTGATAGATTTTTTTATCTTTGTTTTCCTTTATTTTCTTTGTAAACATATTTTGTAAAAATGTTTGACAAGGAATGAAAATCATTTCATTTTACAGATAAGAATATACATCTTATCTATACTTGCAGGAAGTTCATGTATTCATATTTTTATAGATGAAGATACGTAAGCCTCTAGGTTTTATATCAGGAACAAACTTGATAATTTTCTTAAGAAATTCTTTCATATATTTGTTTTTTTTCTTTATGAACATATTTCATGAGAATATTTTACAAAGAATAAAAGTCTTTTCATTCTGCAAAGAAGAATATAAATCTTATCTTTATAGATAAGAAAGAAAGAAAGAATATATAAGATAGATAGAAAGATAAAAAAGAAAGGATACTTTATAGATAAAGCTCATATATTTTTATCTTGATAAATAAGGATATTTGGGCCCCTCAGAATTGATCAACTCTACTTTTTATAAATGTTTTTAATTTTAATACTAAAATATGTATTATAATTGAGATACTTTTCAAAACTGAGAAATTTACAGAAAAGTAGAGTTAATCAATTCAGCTTCTGAGAAGCTTATATAAATATTACTGTTTCGTTTCAAATATATACAATTCAGTCATTTTTTATTCAGCAATTTGTTCTAAATTGGATAAGTTCAAACTCAAACCACATTATGCGATACAAAACTTATTCTTTTATTAGGAATCTTTAATTAATATTTATTAAAAGAACATTTGTATTTTTGAAAATTTGAAACTTTTATTTTGTCTACCATAATGAATAGCATATTACTTTTCATATTGCAATTTAATTTAATTTAATTATTAATTATTTAATTTAATTAAGTCAGCTTTGAATTTGTTGTAATTAAGCCTTTACTTTTTTCAGGAATACTTTAAGCTTCGAACACTTACAGTCAGTCAACTCAAGGCCAGCAATGACCATCCTTATCCTCATAAGTTCCACGTATCAACCTCCTTAGAGACGTTCATCGAAAAATTTATCGATGTCGTGAAGGATGGAGAAACGCTCGTGGATGAAGTGCACAGCATCGCAGGGCGCGTCCACTCCATTCGAGGAGCTGGTGCCAAGTTGATTTTCTTCGACCTTCGAGGAGAAGGTGTTAAAGTGCAAGTGATGGCTAATGCGCGAAATTATAAAAACGGAGAGAAATTTGCGACAGACACCTCAAAGATTAGGAGAGGCGACATCATAGGTATAGTTGGCAATCCAGGGAAAAGCAAGAAAGGCGAATTCTCAATTATGCCACACTCTATAACCCTTCTGAGTCCGTGCCTGCATATGTTACCGCATCTCCATTTCGGCCTGAAAGACAAAGTAAGATCTAATTTCGTAGAAAAATACAATTACATACACAACATATTAAATATAATAAATATATAAAACTGACATTAAAACCATCATACAACTCTGCAAATCAAAGTAGTGTGCACAATATTTTACGCGAATCTATTGCATGTATAATTTAAAAAGTTAAATATTTCTTAAATATATTCTTAAATATTTCTGTATGCAACCAGGAGACGAGATATCGACAGCGATATCTGGACCTCATCTTAAACAACAGAGTCCGTCAAATCTTCCATATACGTGCCAAGATAATTGCTTATGTACGCAGTTACTTGGACAAACTAGGCTTCCTGGAGATCGAGACGCCTATGATGAATATGATCGCCGGAGGTGCGACCGCTAAACCTTTTGTCACTCACCACAATGAACTCAACATGGATCTGTACATGAGAATTGCTCCGGAGTTGTATCACAAGGTATAATGAATCACCTTCGACAATCTTAAAACAAATCTATAAGCAAAAAAGAGAAATATATGAAACACACTTGCACGTGGACGTTTAATAGATGTTAGTCGTCGGTGGGATCGACAGAGTGTACGAGATCGGCAGGCAGTTCAGGAACGAGGGCATCGACATGACCCACAATCCCGAGTTCACTACCTGCGAGTTTTACATGGCATACGCGGACTACAACGATCTGATGGCCCTAACGGAGGATATGGTGTCCAGCATGGTGAAGACGATACACGGCACTTATAAGATAGTTTACCATCCCGATGGACCGGAAGGCGAAGGAGTTGAAATAGACTTTACACCACCCTTCAAACGCATTTCGATGATGAAGACATTGGAAGAGGCTCTTCAAGTTAAACTGCCCAAAGCTGATCAGCTCAACACGCCGGAGACGAACCAGATTCTGAGTGATCTCTGCACGAAGCACAACGTTGAATGCGCTGCTCCCAGAACGTCCGCAAGATTGTTAGACAAAGTAAGACTTAGATTCGTGAGAACTTACTTTCAAGTCAACTTCGGTTAGGTAATTTTGACAGATGACGCTCTGTGAATTATACACGACAAAGGGTTGTAAAAAGGTAGAATATTAATTTTCAATATTTTTTTTTTATGAATACGTCGCGTCTGGCATGCACATTATGTCGTATTTTTTATAGCTTGTTGGGGAATTTATCGAGGAGAAGTGCATCAATCCTACATATATCATAGATCATCCGCAAGTGATGTCTCCATTAGCTAAGTGGCATCGTTCCGAAGAAGGCCTGACGGAACGATTTGAGCTATTCGTTATGAAGAAGGAAATTTGCAACGCGTACACCGAACTGAACGATCCAATCGTTCAAAGAGAAAGGTAGGAAATTTAGGCAACCGTGTGAATTGCAAACACAACAACGCGTTTGTGGAGTTTTAACGACTGGAACACCTTGCGGCAATTCCAAGTGAATTATTCCGTTTTGCAATTATCTGGTAAATTAAACACTTCAAATATACATACAGGTTCGAGCAGCAGGCGAAAGATAAAGCGGCCGGCGACGAGGAAGCACAGATGGTCGACGAGACTTTCTGCACCGCTTTGGAGTATGGTCTGCCGCCGACAGCTGGCTGGGGCATGGGTATTGATCGCCTAACAATGTTCCTCACTGACTCGAATAATATTAAAGTGAGTACTTACAAATTAGATACGCGCGCTATACCTTTTAAAATGACCGTAAAAGAAAATCAAAATTATACAATTAAAATTATATTTTTACATAACTGAAATTATTTATGAAGGAATTTCATATTTAATATTTCATATATTTCGTATTTAATTTTCTCAAACCAGAACGATGAAAAAACAATATCTTACCGATTTTTGCAGGAGGTGTTGCTCTTTCCTCAAATGAAACCTGATGAAAACCCAAATAAACACAAGGACATCGCTGAAGATGACAAAACGTCAAATGTCAGTGACGAAAAATAAGACAGACATGGGCCAAAAATAAAGTTATTTATTTAAAGTTATAAGAAACACAGTTAATGTTTTCCACCAGTGTGAGAATTTTTTTTTTGATGGATAACTTTCCCTATTTACAGAGAAATAAATTTTTTTTAAATTCGGTTATAGCTCTTACGTATTGTAATTTATTTAATACCCGGAGACTACAACACATCGATTACACAATCGATTATTTACAAAATCGCAAGAACGTGTGATATAATACGTAAACGTCATTGTATATATTATATCGATTAGAGTACCATGTTTCTTCACGTTAGTATTATAAATCTTGTCTCTCTCGTTTTTTTTTTTTTTTTTTATATCGCTACGCTACACGGATAAAAACAGTCCAAGATTATTTTGAGATTATGTATCCAGATTGATATTCCAACTATATTACTACTACAACCAGTAATTTCACAAAATCCAAATTATCACGTTTGACATTATTCTTTTTCTTCTAACTTTAGAGAATTTTATTAATAAATTCGATAGTTTCAAACGTCACTTAGAAAAGTTAAAAAACACTTCACGTCATAAATGTGAATTGCTATGGAGATTTGTAAAGATTTGAGGAACTAATAGCCATGAGAGAGACAAAGAGAAAGCAAGAAATTTCCCGAAGGAAATATCCTAATACTATATATACTAAAGGGTCTTTATATAGGCGCAGAAAGAAGAAACTCGACTCGATTCGATATTTCGAAAAAACATGACATCTACTACAGTGAACACGAACAGTATGAGCGACAGAAGAGTAACACACACTCATATTTCGACTCCTCTTGTGAGCCGAAAAACATGAAATCTTAATAAGTACTTGCATATCTGCTGGCAGCATCTTTTATATTGTCTGATATATATATATCCACTTGAAAAATAAATATAATCCTATATAAATTTTTAATAACTATAACACAGGAGCCCCAAAGCAGCTTATGTCTAACTTACGAGAATATTTCAACTATAACGATTCGTACTCGAGTCGTATATTTAGTTAAATGTATCTAATCGACAGTCAAATTCGTGTTCTCACGTTTAATGCTAAACTTGGCAATCCGAGGCTCGTTCGTCTAGTTATACGCAACATGAATGTCACGTGAAATTTCAGGCAGTCTCTACTTAATATCGAATATACGGTCTTGAAATTCGTACTCTCGTTCGCAATTAACTCTAAGCTCTAGTGTGATAAACGTATACATTTGCCGACGTGTGCAAAGCCTTAAGATCATATATTCAGTATTAAATACACGATGAAAATATATCCTATGAGATCTTTATACAGAATTCACTGTATTTAAATTAGGTAGAACTCAAAACTGAACAGCCACGTTTAGCTGTAAACGCGAGAATCGAAGTTCTAGCAAACTAGTTAACATACGACCAAGGAAATATGTTTTACGGATAGTCACTGATATGTATTTCGCACTTGACTATAATATTCGTAAAAAAAAATTTTCTCGAACATGCGTATGTGCATGACCATTAAAAGGATTAACATTCAATTTTCCTCAATAGAAATTTAACGTTAATTGTAGCTTCTCGACTCCTAACAGACATATTTTGTTATTTTAATACGTATTACAGTTACTCCTTTAATGGTCATACTGTATACATTTAAAGAATACCCCTTATAAACATTAACGGTTAATCATCACAATAATTGTAAAGTTTAGAAATGCAAGTAGTCTCGTCGGAAGATAGAATATTCTGCTGGCAGCTTTTTGTCCTCATGTATATCTCGATAAAAATATTTTATACTGTCTGGAACTTATGAATATACATTTTCCACACAGAATAAATTAAGCTACTGACTGGTAAAAACACCTTCGCAGGTCGAAACACGTGATTAATTTGCCATTCAATAATAAGACTTGTGTTGCGAAGACTATTTCAAGAATCATGTAAAATCGAATCTAACTAAGACCTTTATCAGCTCTCCTCATCCTGAACGTACTTCGTGACAGAATTGTAATGAGCGCCAAGCTCATATATATGACGATGATAGGTCAATGTTACTTTTTTACCATTGGTATATTGGTCTCCAACGATGTAAGGAGCTCCTGTAGCTTGTACGACCTCGATTGGGCATTTTAGTATGCATGATAGTACCTGAAGCTGTATGACAAAATAAAATAAACTTTATTGATTACACAGCTTCGTTCATGTCTGTCACTAATACATTTCTTTGCGGATTAATTTGTTAATTTGCAAAGGAAAAAATATATTATAAATAGTGCAGCATAATAAAGTGCACTGTAATAAAGCAGTATGCAGTTGCTCTATGTAACTTTACATATATCTGTAATATAGAGCCTGTTCTTTTTCAAAGAACTCCCTGAAGTAGTGCACATTGGTGCAACAAGTTAAGGCTCCTGGCTCTTCGCATTGTCTATCTCTTTTTAATGACATCAGAAGCGAGAAAATGCATGCAAAAAATTCTTGCGAAATATGTTGAAATAAAAAGATATATCCATAAAATAACACTTGCAATCGATTAAACAAATTTGTAAGATATTCCACTTCTCTTTTGCTTTAACAATCAATAATTTATTGTAAATTAACCTGAATAGAAATAGGCGAAGAAATATTAAGAAGATGAATACGTTAATTTACGACAAAGTATTGATTGTTAGAGCAAAAGGGGAGTCCATGGAATATCTTACAAATTTGTTTAATCGATTGTAAATGTTACTTTATGGATATATTTCTTTATTTCAATGTATTTCGCAAGAATTTTTGGCATGCATTTTTTCGCTTCTGATGTCATTAAAAAAAGATGGACAATACAAGGGACCAGGAGCCTTAAAGAGAAACTATATTTGATTTTATTCTAATTTATTGCACACCAATGTATATCAGTTCAGGAAGTTAAAAAGAACAGATCTATATATTTACCTCGACTGCACCACCCCAGGCACTTGTCTCAGCCACATCATTACAGTATTTTTCAAATTCCTCAGGTGTCATTAAATCATCAGAATCAGGATTAGACAGAAAAGGCAAAAAGTCATTCATATTTTCCCTCAAATAATCAGCAGTCTTTGTTCTGAGATCGTGCAGGCTAAGGGGTGTCTCTCCATTCACCTTAAGTTGATGAGCAACTGCGTTGTATAAACTACAAACAGAGATGTAAGCATAAATATATAGCATAAAGTGAGATAAATAAACTGTAAATCATGTATTTAAATCATGTATAGAGTCTTCATTAGTTCCTTTTTTAGCTCTACATACATTGAAAGGAGATTAAATTCTCACCAATGGCCATCGCTGGGAATTTCATAGACCATTAAACCGCGCTCAAAGAGAATTTTCTTTATAGCTTCTATTTCAACATTTCTTTTGCCAAACACGTTGAGTGCTTCTTGCTCAATAATCTTCTGATTGCGTTCCTTCTCTGCATTTGCCTTCTTTTCCCTTCTTTTCTGAGCTTTGGAAATCCTTTGCATAGGTTGATCCAGGCAATTATTATCCTTACTGATTACCTCACTTGAAATTGTAAGTTCCTCCTTGTCATTCAATGTAACATGAGTTAATCTCCATTCGTTCAACTCCTCTATCTGACGTTTGTCCAGACTCTCCTCTAAATGGCCTATCTCCTCCATAACCTCTTTCTTCTTCTTCTTGTCACCTTTGCAGATTGACTTCTTCAAGATTTGTATTTGAGCTACCAATACAAGCAGAAACGTTTGACAATATATTTCGCAAAAACCTTTTGTCGAATTGGAAATTGAAATTCGAAAATATTAAAATTTACAAACTTTACAGAGGAAATTTGGAGAGGTACAGCACATCTGTCATAGATGAAAAGTATTATTTTTAATATATATATATACCTTGTAGTTCCTTCCGTTCTTTTTTGTGCTTTTGCGTTAAATCTTCCTCCGTTAATGTAAGATCTGCCATTTTAATTTAAATATAACCACTAATGTGTCAGCAAAAGAACTTCCAGAGAAGAGCCGAAAGCGATCATATGGCATGAATGTGTCATATGTGTGTGTGTGTGTGTGTGTGTGATCGCCATTTAGGAGTTACTTCGAATTACTTTAAGCAAAGTTTGGCCACGAGGAAGCAACTTTTGATTGGTCTACGAGAAAGCAACTTTTGATTGGTCCATGTTATATTAAATCCCACACAGCATCCAATCACAGTATACCTATTACAATAGGTTAGGTTAAGGAGAAATAGACAAAGAAAAATATTGAAAATATATCCTTCTCTCTCGCAGGATTTTGATAAAACTGCAGTCGTGGCCAAACTCTACTCGGAGTAACTTTAGAGTTACTTTCTTTTGAAGCTCCTCTGTCTATAAAGGCTGCGTTCGCTTTGGGCATTTACGCGCTGTAAGCGTCATTCTATCTTTATCGCTCATTACATGCGGAAAGAAGATAGAATGACGCTTATAGCGCATAAGCGCCCAAAGCGAACGCAGTCAAAATGTGAACATGAACTACATAGCCAATGTCCATAATTTTTCTCAGCGGATAATAGGTAATATTCACGATTTTGTGGTTCTGCTCCGTGCTAATTCATTTTTGCAAAATAACTCACATGAAAATTAACGTTTCATTAAAATCCGTTTTCATTAAAAGTAATTTTTAAATAACTTTCATGATCCTTTATACAATATTACATACTAGATTATTCATAATTTGTAGAAAAAAAATTATTAGTTTTGTACAACGACGCAATATATTTAAATACAAGTATTGTATATTGATATCTCGCAATAATCTAGAGATTGATTTTCAAAAACATATCGCATACAATATTCTATAAAAATCTATAATGTCACGTATATTATAGATTTTCATAAAATATATACGATATTTTTTAAGAATTAGCTGCCTGAAATGAATGAATAATTAAAAATTTAATACAGTTATATGAGTCATATTTAGATCCTTTATTGTTGATTTATTTATTAAATACGACTATCTAGTTTTGACTCTCATAGACCTAATTTTAGTTACAATCTGTTGAATTCCGCCGTTTTTCCTAAATGGTTGAGGAAAACAATCCTGAGATTTTCGTACGTAAAATACCTTCTTCTTCAATATATTGGCTAGAAACGTCCGAGCTTTGCTCCAATTACCAATCTTGTAAAATACATGTATAGTAAAATATATAGTTGGTAAATTTTACTATACATATATTTTACAAGCACTTTTACACGCACTTTTTTCCTTCAAGACGTACGGAAATTATAATACTATGTTTATTATTTATTTGTTATTATACTTGCGTTTATTATTACATTATACTATGTTCTTTTCGCCTTCCTCCGTATTCTGTATTGTGTGAAAATTCACGGTGCCCTCGCGGGAGGTGTTCCACCTTCGTCCCAGTGCAGTACCAACGCAGCTGGAGAGAAATAAATCGCGGTGGCCATGGGGACTGTGTAGTCGTTCTTGGTGCTCTCCGGTCGCTTGTTTTCCTTGTTTGTTTTTAGTTCCCTCCGGGATTATCTTTTCGCTGTCGAGTTCCCTGGAATTCGACTCAACGCGACATGGCTACGATCGATTCTGCAAGCCGTTTGATTTCATTGCTATGCTTTATTGTGGTGCTAACCTCGTCTGTCATTGCTGTTGCGGGACCAGATGGTACGTCTTCGGCCTTGCCACCTTTGAGCCAGGATCCTCCGTCCAAATCATCCTCGGCGACAATCGAAGAACACCCATACAGTAATGTCGCCGACGATAAAAAAGTACCAAAGGTAAGTACAAAATGCATATCTGCATCTGTGTGTGTGTGTTAAATGCCTTCTGAATTTTTTGGCGCTTCTTTGTTTTGTTTTACTTGTCGCGTTTTATCATGTCACTTTGCGTCCCATTGTCGTCTTGTAATATTTCTTTTTTAACCGTTCTGTGCATCTTTTTTGCTGAAGAATCAATGAAGAATGCATGACAAGTCCCTCGCATATTTTTAGTCGTGACTCGTGTGTTTGTTTTTAATATTTACTTCTTATTTTCCTGTTTCATATATTCTGTCTTACCTCATACATGTTCGAAATGTTCTAATGTATCAATACCAACAGAGTGAATTTTTATAATATGTGTGTGTGTGTGTGTGTAATTTTATATATTATTGATTTATTTATTTACAATAATAAGAGTAAAAAAGATGTAGTATCAATAAAAAATATGAAGGTGATTTTTTATTTTTACAAGAAAAGAACATTTAAATTTTTTTTGCATTTTATCACTCTTATCACTCTTTAAGAACTGATTAACTGCATTTAGAACTATTTCCTGTCTGATCATTGTAACTGGTATAAATATGATAATGGATATTATGGTGAATGTATATATTCTGTACATGATTATATATATTATGTATTACATATATTATTAAATATATTCATATGGTTGAATTTTATATAAAATATAAAATATCCACAGGATCTTGCAAGTACATCAATGATGATAGAAGGAGGACCAATATTAATACCTACAACCACCCAACAACAAGCAAACACCAAGATTGTGGTTGAACCAGACATCCCTGATAAATCCAGAGAGAGACAGAACACACCTAAGGCGAGATTCGCTATACCTTCTGTAGTTCCAAGGAAAGGAGTTGAGGAAAAAAAAGTGAAAGCAAGAAAAGGTGTGAGTCAGTCTAGCCTAGATGTAGAGCAAGCTAATACATCAATCAGCCAAATCACTGCTCAGGAGAACATAAAACCCATAGTGGAAGATACTGCCACAATAGCACCAGTTCATACCGATAATCAAGCTGAAACTGCCAAGATCGATGCGCCAAAGTTGAACGTCACCAATTCACGACCTAATGACAATTCAGATTATCATGGTGCGAACTTTAGTTCAATTCCAATCTCAGTGAACGCGAACACCTCTCACATAGAGGTCACGAATGACACAACGAAGTCTTCCCCACCTCCTGTGGAAAAAAAACACATACCGAAGCCTAAGCCAACAGTGACTACTGTCGGCAAATCGGAAACTAACGAGTCCAGGCTGTCCTCGCGCAACAAGAGCTCCCCGCTGGGTGCGCCGAGAAAGATCGATTACATCGTGCCAGTCATCATAACGATTGTCACTTTGCCGATACTGGGTACTGGTATTTTTCTATTGTACAGACGCGGTCGAGATTGCTGGGACAAGAGGCACTACCGAAGAATGGATTTTCTGATCGACGGAATGTACAACGACTGAAAGAGCCGCGAAGGCGACAATTTGCAATTTGAGATTATACGGGCGTGTAATTTCGCAATGGGATATCAATCGTTGCATTTACTACAGTCTTCAGCAAATGCAAATGTTACGCTTGCTTTCGATACTGTTTCGACACTTTTCCTCGACGCAATTCAAAACGCAGCCGATGAAAATTCAATGAAAGAACTTACCTCTCAGAAAAATTTTGAGAAGATAAATTCTCTCATTACATCACACATACATACACATCGATTTCCGAACTGCATTGGAAGGAAGATGTTGAAATCGTATAGAAATTAAGTATACAATCGGTTGATTAAAGATTGCAACACTTTTCCTTGATGAATTTTGTAATACATCTCGTATTCAATAGGAGAATTTGTTCTTTTAGCAATTTTTAGGATATATATAATTCCTATGGAATACAGAGTGCGTTACATCATCGAAGATGTCTCAAAGCAAGGAACATATCGAGAAAAAATTTTACAGGAAATCTTTGAGAGAAACAAGGATCTACAATACGGTCGCAATTACGTTTTAAAGTCGTAGCACTAGTCTGTAAATCGATCATACGTCCATTTTTTTCACGTAAGCTTACAAGAAATAAAAAGCTCCATTGACGAATTCAATAAAACTTTTCATTTCTCACGAATTTACGTGAAGGAAATGGATATACGATCGATTCACAGACTACGATCGCATTGTAGACAATTCTTTAATCAACCGATTATGCGCGTTCTTTTAGAGTAATCGTTGCTAAGTTACAGCATCGATTTTATAGTACATGACAATATTTATGCGAAAAAACTAAGTCTATCGGTATCCATTAATATGTTCGCTATCAGCGTCACACATATGTGATCACACTTTCGATTTCTCTCCGGAAAACTAAGCAGGCTTAGTTTTGTAATTTCCTAACGCTTACGTTATAACTGTAACGCTATCTAACGCAAACGTTACACGTCGTCGCGCAGATATAATAAGTACTATAATAGCTGCGCAACGATGTTCAACGATAATGACATTGTCGTTAAAAATTGTAGAACAAGTGTCACAATTCATACATTATGCTTTAAACGCTCAATTTGTCCATTTCATACATTTTATCTGCGCAAACATGCACTGCAAGCGCAAATACTGCAAATATAGCGTAGACTATAGTGAGGTTTTTGATTCAAGCGCGATAGCGAACGTGTTAAAGGACCCGACGCTTTGCCGACGCAATACAAACGTATAAAATAATATATATATCGCGCAATCGTGCAACGATATAACGTCTACATTCAGTGTACACTGACGTCCAAGCTTGTGCAATCTTCTCGTCGTACTGTTGCCTTAATAGTAACACGGTGAAAATTTTGTGATTTGTTACGCAGCGATCGACGCGTTCAACATAACACTTCGTGTAATCTTTTTAGCGGAATCCTTTTATATTATGTCCTCAAGAGAATTCTTCTAATATCAAAAAAAAATATTCTAAACGCAGTGTTTTTAAATTTAGAAGACTTTCGTCTTTTATCAAGTCTTATTCTTAATAGAAGTTTCTCCTAGTAAAAGAACATTCTGTTTCAAGCAAACATATTCCTCTCGATTCAAAAAAAGAGAAAAAGTCGTAATAATATCAAATAGATTGCCAATTAATAGTTCATTTTGTTAGAAGAGAAATACTTTTTCGATAAGAACTTTCGCTTAAAATATGGGATTACAGGAAATAGCACCTTGCAACTAGAATTCTTTTTTAGGTGTTACAATGTTTTCCGTTTGGTTTAAAAAATTTCTCTTGATATATATAAGATTTTCGCTAAGAATAAGATTATACTTTTTGTATGTATTATACTTTGGGTATGTATACTATTAGGCAGGGTTGGAAAGTAACTTTTCGTTACTCTTCAAAAATTATTTTTCTAACCCTGCTATCTAGTAGTTTCGGCTAATTCTATCTTTAGGATAACAGACGCAAAGAATCATATCAAACGAGGAACATTGTGTTGAGACAACGATTTTGTAAATAATTTGCACAATGACTTCCGCGCATTGCATATACCCAGCAAGCACAGAGAATATAACTATTATATAACATAAAAGTAACACGTAATATAACAGCTATTATACATTATTAATGTTAAAGTTGCGCAATTCTCTTTATAACCGCAATGTAACTTTTTAAGAAACTGTTAAATTGCTCCATTATTTACTGATTATAACGGTATAATAGCAATATAACTAAAATATAATAGGTTATATAACAAGTATATTGTTTGTGTTACATCTATGTTATATAACATTTTTATATCCAGATGTCGAGTCACTCGTTAGATAGCTTCCGTTTCTTAAATATTTCATTAAATATGATGAATTAACATACATACAAAAACGGTGATCACGAGATGGCAAAACTTGTACCATGGAATTCACTCTTATAATCAAGTGACATATCTTTTGATTTTTTTGAAACTGCGGTCAAAGTAATAATCCCTCCCAATGAAATTATTTATAGAGATGGGAATAGATAAATAGCAATAGCCTCAACAACATAAGATATCCTGAGGATACTTCAGATGTTTCAAATGATAGAATAATTCTGGGATATCTTGTGTTTATTTGAGAGCTAATTAATTTAGAAGATAGCTAGATACTTTTATGTCATTATCTTTACAAAAAATATAATTTTTTATATGAAATAATTATAGTATTTTTAGAAACATACTTTTAAAAGTTAACTGATATTTGAGTGACAGCTTTATATAACTGCTACATACAATTAAATAACTAAAGTTGCTGGAAAATGGATCATTTGTATTCCAGCTATATAATATTTCAGCAATTGATATAACAGCTGTATAACATTTAATAACATGTTATATTTTTATTTTAAGCTGCAACATCGTTTGAGTGGGAAATTACTATTGTAATAAAATTACAACTAACGTGTATGTTATACGTAACAAACATGTTATATTGCATGTTACTTTTTATTACATTACGGCAACGTAACAGTTATATAATTGTGTTTGCTGGGTACTGTCCTAAATTAATTCGTAAAGATGTATGTACATCTAGAAAAAAGTTCTCTAGGAAATCTTCGCTTTTGTCCACGTGAGAGAATCTTTATGTAAATGTTACGTCTTCTACTATCGCGATCTTCCTTCGTGGATGAGAATCTACGTGTTACGTTTTAATGCCATTTAGGAAACGTAAGTGAAATTTACCAAAGGGTCCAATTTTGCCAAGTCCGACAATAATAGTAGCAATCTGAATCTCTACAGAATCTCGGTCGAATGAAGAGATCGCATTGTGCTTCGAGAGCGCTCCTTTAGCGAGTCGCGTGATTCTTTTCCGCAGTACGAGAGCCCCCATAGTTTGTAAGATGACGCTTAATTATACGAGACGCGATATAAGATACACAAATTTACCAAAGAGTTACCCCCCGGCTTGTGTAACATGTCGTGCATTATTTGTATTTTTATTCATACTGTGTATTTATGTTGCATTTCTATTTCGCAGGACGATTTACGAGTCTCGAATCTATTTAGTATCACTTAGTGAGGATATTTTTATCGGTATTTGCCATATACGAGATATCGAAATAGGCAGCATGAGACGTTCTCTCGCTATGTAAATACGATAAATGATTTATACGAAAATTATACTCAGTCTTTAAGACTTTTTGAGATTGTGATTTTTATGAGCGAAATTACGTTTCGGGTTTTCGAAAGTGTATATTTTATTAATGCACGGGAAAGCAATAATAATAATATAATTATTTTTATACGTCTATGTAAAAGAAAGATTATTCATATTGTTACGAAATATACGTACTTGCAAATCACATGTTGTTACATCGCTCATTTCCAAACTCCATCAACAAAAGTATCACAGAAAGAGAATGAATGATATTTGTAAAGATTTTATTAATAAGCTTTTCATATAGATACATAAATACAGAAACGTTAGCGATATATATATATATATATATATATATATATAAGTTACTCGCCACTTTTGCGAGTTAATGGAATTCCTGAGGACTTTTCAAAACGAAAATGTCAAGGTTGTAATAATTTTTAAACTGAGAGTGTTTTAAGATGATCAGAAACTATCCAAATCTAAAATTCATGCGCTTAAACACGTAGTCCATCGCATAGTAACGCAGGTGTCCGTCGAAAAACATTCGCTCGATAATAATGCAATTCTGGAAATATAACGTCAGTAATATTGCTTCTTAACATTGTCATATTCATGAGTTATCATTAATCCGTTGAATGTTGTGTGCTAATAAGAGTAGTGATGTAAAAGTTTTACAGAGAATATTAGCGCGACGCGCGCTGAAGTGTCAAAACTATCATATGAAGTGTGTATTTGACGAATAATGTTTCCTTACGGTTACAAATCAATTCAAATTAATATCAATCAATAATATATTATTATTATTAATAATCTATTGCTACTGTTAATATTAATATTATTACCAAGCTATATGAAAGCTTGACTATTAATTCATTATTGGGTTTTATATACATATATCGCAAGTCATTGGTGTTAATATATAATGTCTATTTCTCTATATAATCAGTTTAATTTCTTTTCTGTTCTCTTTGAAATACTCGTAATCGCTAACGCTCTGTTCTAATTTTCTAACGAGAGTTGTACTCATCTCCTAAAAAAGTACAGTTACTTTAGATTCCGATTTGGACTAAAACTAATTCAAGTCGTCACTTGCGCTGAAGTATCATCTGGAACTAAATATAAAAATAGTAATCTTTTTTGACGCACTATTCAGTCCGTGACTACCATTGCGAAATCAACATAATTGAAAACATTGTGAGAGTAATGCAATTTCGAATAACAAAATATGAATCTAATTGCAGTATTTCTATATGGTGCAATTATAAAAACACCATATTTTAATTTTTTTGTTTCCGTTTTGCGTTAAAAAAATAAATTAATGTCTAGAGGCCTGTCCGATTGCATCGAAGAAGCTTCAAGAATATATGCATATGTGCTTGTGTGTGTATGTGTGTGTGTATATATGCAATGTAAATATGTGCGCGAATATATGTGTTATGTGCACCTACTTAAAAATTCATATATAACACATTAATACCAGTCTACCAAATATAATATACGAACTTGTGCATGAGTGTACAGCTTAAAAATATTATAGAAAAATGTGTCAATCAAGATTGAACTGAAAGGAAAATCCGAGAAATAATTATCGGAGGACGTTATACTTGTCGTATATGCATATAATTCCGAGAATACAATTTTGTTACCTAAATTTAGAAGACCAATGTGAACAGAAGGAACAATTTTAAGACAAAAAGAAACGAGAAATTGAAGGTTTTGAAAGGTCTAGAAGAAAAGGGACGCTTGTTAAAAGCCGATCCAATATGCAGGCAATAGAAATTTCATTCTGTTGCATCCCAAGTAAAATATAAGGCACTCTGTTATCAATTTCACGAATTTCCCTCCGGCACTCTCTTTCCCGATATTTTCTCTATTCAGTCCAACCTTGCACATAGCATTTATATATGCTATATATACAAGTTATTATCACACCAGGTCAGTGAGCGGACAGTAGAATTGCTTACGACGTAGAGTCGTCTAACCGGTAAAGTCGACTGTCATGCTGCACGACACATAATTGTGCACAATTTGACATAAAATTACGAGGCATTAAATTTCGACGTTGGAGTGAACGAAGGTAAATGACAGAAGAATCCTAAGGAAAAGTAGATACAATGAACATTCAGGTACCATGGAAGAGAGAGAGAGAGAAGAAGAAGAACAGATTACCGGTTAGAAGATCGACGTACACGTGATCGTGTGCATCCGCTGAAATTTATCTGAATTTATCGAAGAAGTTCGCCGGTCCAGACAAAATCGATTACATCGGACTGAACGAAGTCGATTACATTCACGATCCGCTGTCCCCAAACTTAGTCGCCAGTGGGGAATTATATTGTATTTCATGGAAAATTTCTCTTTTCGGAAGTTCCCTCGAAGACTTCGATTTGTATTTCACCTCATCCGGGAAAGCTTCCCTCGGCGGCACGAGACTGAGCATCATCACATGACGTGCGTAACATCGCGAGTTGCGGAATTGCGTGTCGGTGCCGTGGATGCGGTCCAGAACCCCGAGTACACCATAGCACTGATTGAACCTGGAAATATCCGTTTTAACTAATCGACTCTTCTCTCACCGACATTCGAATGTACAACAAAATGCAGACTCGTAAAGATTTCCTTTCATTAGAGCAAAAAACAGGATCTTAAATTATTTGTGAGTCTAATTAAATGACAAAATAATTATGACAGGATCAAACAAATTAATAAATAACCCAAACCACAAATAACAAAACCACAAAAAAAAATCTTTTTACCGGAAAGAGGAACCATTATTTTTTATGTATTTCGACGTACTGAAACCAAATATGATCTTTAAAATAACGTAGCACGTTAAGTTTTTGTTATAACGGACAAAAAAGCTAAAAATTGAGCATTTTTCATATTCTACATAAAACATGCACGCTGTAATTAAATTTTCTTAGATTAAAAATAATAATCATGTACACTTATGTGTTGAAACATACACAATTTTTAATAAGCGAAATATTAAGTTATATGTATTGTAACATATAAATATATAATATATATATAAATATATGTACATAATTGTTATTTTTAAGCTATGAAAATTTATTACAGCGTGCATGTCTTATGTAGAATATAAAAAATTTTGAGCAATTTTTGCCCATTATAACAAAAACTTGACTACGTTATTTTAAAGGTCATACTCGGTTTCAGCACATCGAAACAGTGATTCTTCTTTCCGATAGAAAACTTTATTTTTTATTTTTTTGTAGTCCTGTATAATTATAACGCGCGTTACTTTAGATGATGAAAGTCGTGTGCCTCCGGTGACGGGAAAAACGGTAGATGGTAGCCGGAGTGTGCGTTCAACGTCGAAAGAATCGCGAGGGAGAACCAAAGGTAAGCGGTAGCCACATGAGAGCCCATGAGGAACACGCCGAGGAAAGGCGGAAGCAGGTTCGAGCCGATGTTCTCCAGAGGATGGCAATACATCGCGGTGACGGCTACAGGCGCGGTCCATTCGTGATGCTGCTTATGTATGTACTTGTACAGAATGCCCTTGTGGAGGAATCTGCAAAATATGAATCGGCAGTAGCGAATTGGTGTCGACGGCACGCGCGCGACGATGATTTCTGGACGGCGGAGCGGGATATACCTGTGCGAGTAATAAAAGCCAATCTCCTCGCATAATATGTGAATCGCGATCTCGGCGAGCACCCAGTGGAAGGTCGGCAGCTCGCGCACTGGGGGGAAACCGCGCCATTCCATGATGTAATAACTCAGATAGATAACGGGAAACCCGACAATGATCTGATTGAATAGCACTTGACCGATCACTTTGCATAACTTCCTCTTGTCGACCGGCTCGTTCGTTCCCGGTTGTATCTTGTATCTGCGCAGTGCCGCCGGCCGATTGGTGATGTCTAGGATGGTGTAAATTCCACCGACCACCCAGTAGACGACTAACATCAGCAGCGAGGATCCTGTGCCGATAAGAAATGCGAGTGTTAACGGTAACATCCAGCGATACGGGATATCGTTGAGTGTCCCGCATGACGAAGTGTAATTCAGTCGATTTAAACGCCTACGTTTCTAAGTTCCATTTCCTAACAGAATTTCCGAGATACGCGGGAATGCGGGGCATAATGGGAACTCTAAGGTTTAAATGAGTTTCAAACATATAAAAAATAAACAAATCAACTTGGTTTTGCACCAAAATATTCTTTGAACTATCCACTATAAGGAAACCCAAGTTTTATCGTGAAAGAAATTTTATAAAGTTAAAAGCGACTCATTAAAAAATGCAATATATCAAAATGTATTATTGTACGTTTAATTACTTATCATTATTTATTAACAACACTTTTCCTATAAAACAAAATATTAATTTCTTTTCTTATTAATATTAATAACAATCATTATTTAGTATGATAATCCTTGATATCAATTTTCTTATAGTATATGATTAAAATAATACAATTTAACATTTTAAGAACATAATGACGATCCTGTTATACTCCGAAATATATAAATTTGCATTATGCAGTATAAAACATTATAGATAATCGATATTTGTATAAGCATTTAATTAAAATAGCGAAAAAAGATCATATAATAACATTTTAATATACGCGTACAGTAATAAAAAAATAATCTTATTATTGTTTATCTTATTATTGTGCAAATGTACTGAATTGCAATAAATGAACGAATTAAACTTGAACTTGAATTGAACGAATTGCAACACAGTTGTGGAGAACACAGCAAACGTATCAAACAATTTGTAACATTTTTCAGTTAAAAATAATATGATAACAATACGCGGTAAAAGACATCTGACAGTAATAATTGCAAAATATTCCATTACATGGCAGCATTTCTGTAAAAAGTTATCGAACATATTCCATTATGTCTCGCGTCTTCTTTTTCCCCAAATTCCCTTAAAATTCTATGAAAAAGTGCATGGAACTAATTGCATTTGCAAAGTCGCTCGTGAGCGTTACCCCATACAGCACAGCAACGTTACAGCAACATTGCAGCATCATTGTTTTACAATATTGTGACATTGCAACAACGTTGCAAAATGTTGCTGCAATGCTACTGCAACGTTGCAGCAACGATAAAATGTCCGTTTACGGCAATATAACAACGCAACTGTGCAGCAACATTGCAATGCAATATATATAAAATTATTAATATGTTTTATTATACAAAGTAAATCTCAGATAACACCCTTACAGGAATATCATACTAATAAATACTAAAAAATTATTAGTGATTATGTATTATCAGTAATCCAGTAATTTTTTCGTCTGTACTTAATTTCTGGTGAATACTGATAATAAAATCACTATTAAATATTGATAGTAATCAAATACTGAGAATTATTGTGCGAATGTGAAAAATGAGAAAATCATAATATTTAAAAAAATAGATTTATAATTCCTAATTTTCTTATATCTCATAAACTACTAGATATCGAAGATTGTGTCAATACACACTCCAAACTTTTGTGAATCTTCCCTCGATAATTTCGATCCCAAGCGGTTATACCACCGGTCACCTCCATCTATATCCCTGATTCCGTTAAAAGTGTTGCTTAACCTTGACGATCGAACGGCATGCGACGATTCCCAACGACTCCAACGATATTCTTACGATTTGTGTTTATATAATTTATCCTTATAGTGTTCACAGTATATTATAACAAACCTAGCAAACATCAAATAGTTATATAACTTTTACTTGGTATTCATTGGATAATTTACTGATAGATATTGAAACAATGCAACAACATTTGATATGAGATGAATATTGATGTAATATAGTGAACCAGTGATAATTACTTTTAGATTTTTAACAGAATGTTATAATGATTAATGCAAACCAAAAAAAAATAAAAAATCCAAGAAAATCCAAATTAAACAAATCGAATTACTAAATTTTGAAAGAAACTTTTATAAAATATTATTTAAAACAATAGTGTTGTTTCATCAAATGACATGGTTTCCTTTAACGAAATAAAAGTTTTTATTTTTATCATTTCAAAAAATGATATTTCGTTTAAGAATATAATATTTTAGTAAAACAAAAAACCACAAAATTAAACAAGAACGAATATTAAATCTAAAGAAAGTATTTTCTCTGAAAAAGCGGTATAAGAAGTTTAAGAAACATGTAATAAGACAAATTCTAATATTAATGATTGCCACTAACAAGTACTATTCTATAAATACTATTGATGTGAATATTACTAAATTTGAAATATAAGTAACAAAAATAACTAGTAAATAAGTAAAAAATATTATATTATATTCGTCATATTTTTGAAATATTGCTAAAGTAATTTTGAAAATTAATGTCATTGCAATGTCTCTGCAACATTGCACTGTAATATGCAATCTTGCAACGTTGTAGCAATGTTACGTTAATTAGTTACGTCAACTAAAATTTTTTGATGTCATTACGAATATGCAGTAGCAATTCGTAATATACGCTGCAAACTTCTGTGCTGTATAGGACGCTTATTCGCTATATGCAATAAGAAAAATGTCTTAATAGCACATTTTGCACATTTTGTGCATTTTACGCCGCGCTATCAGCTGGTAGCGTCACGCACAAAACATTCGATAAAATATAATTGATCTTTTACGAACGTAAAACCGACGTCATGTACATATGATAGCGATCATTTTTCTTAATACATGCACATCAATAAATTAAATTCATTCTATATTACTGCATAGATAAATACAATGGTAAAAATACGTATAAGACATACACGTTAGTATAAAATATACACGGAGAAAAATAATTTTGCTCTTTTAGTAAAATCGTCGTTGCTACTGCATATTCGTAATGACATCAAAAAAATTTAGTTGATGTAACTAATTTTGCAAGTTATTCATTATCAGAACAGAAGTAATTTCGTTGCCAGGATAGAAAAAATTTGTTGAGTGTATTTGTCCTAAGAATCATGTTAATTTGCTATTGATGCAAAATAATATATCCTCAGCAAATTTATTTGCTATCGGAACAAAACTGCAACTGCTTATATAAATCCATCATGGTTCTTATAGCAAAATAATTTGTATCCAGCAAATAGTGATTAGTACTTTTAGCAAATCTTTTTGCTGTCCATATGATAACGAAAAGATTTTGCTAGACCAGCAGAAAATTTGCTGGGCCAGCAAATTATTTTTCTCCGTGTAGAAATATCTGTGCGGACGATTTCGCAAATAAACGATAGTAATAAACGTGTTGAGAATTCATATTCGCGGACTTACCGTAAACCCACAGGGTAACAGGATCATCTCCGAATCTGTCTAAGATTTTGTCCCACTGAGCCTGCCAGAAATCGCCAGATGCACCCCAGAATCTTTGTAAGTGCCTGAAATCATGCATTAATTAGCAAGGCTTATTCCCTTTGCTTTGTTTTTGTCTAACGGACTAAAAATCCAAAATATTTTTACCAGTTACAATGATCGTACCAGTTACAATGGAGAAAGATTCGAGGTGCAATTAAAATTTTTAGACAACGATAAAATTATAACAAATAAAAATAATAAAACAATAAAAATTTCAAATACGTTCTTTTTTGCAAAAAAACAAAATTATCTTCATCTTTTTAAATAGAATCATATTTTTTCTCTTATCCGAGCATGATTAGCGACATCGACGAGACATAATTCAGTTTTCGATCATTTTATCCATTTAAGCATATCGTGAATTATAAGGAAATTTACGTCAACATGAAATATAACAAATATCGTTATCTCTATTTACGCAATTGTCAAGATAAGACGAAGAGGGATAATTTTAAAATAGTACCATGTCAAAGAATTACAGAAAGCGGCGAATGCGATCACCACGGTCCCGATAACAAAGAATACGCTCCTAAGACTCGAGAGGAGCGTCGGTGGAGTTTGATTCTTCGAGGCATCGTTGGCAGTGGAGGTTGCTGCGAACAGAAGAGAATAGAAAGTCAATGTCAATGTCAATGATTAGAGATGAAAATAACCCAATCTGACGATAATTTACCCGGTAAATTACTTGGTAATTTTGAGCAGCTAGTAAAATAGTAATTTAGAAAAAAAGATTACAGAAATAAAAAATGTATTTTAATATAAAGCTCAAAAAGAGCATTTAGCTTTTAAGATGAGTAAGACATTTTATTTAACTTCTGTTTTCCATAAAATATTTTGATACATAATATTTTTGATACTGTATATTGATATACTATGTAAAGCAAGTAATTAGGAAACTAGGTATATAGTAATTAAAGAAACTTAAAAAAAATGTTCAATGTTCCAATCTATATTTTTCATACCTCGAAAACAGTCAATTTCTATATTTTTCATACCATTTTACAGTCCTACAGCATTTTCATTTGTTACCTTGCTGTTTCAGCGGTTAGACTATAATATATAATTAAAAATTTTTAACAGTATTTTAAAAAATGGAAACTAATACTCTCGAAAGATTATAAGTAGTTTTCTTCCTTTCATCTGAGACATTTCAGAGATGATCAAATGTAACAATGTTTAATTATTAAACTTCATGAGAATATAAGAAAAATATTATTTCATCTTATGCGATAGTGCGGAAAACACGAACATTTGTGCATGAAACTATAAAAAATAACGGATTTTATCAAAATTACCCACATAAATTAACAATAAATCTTACTGTAATTTTAATGTAAATAATCGTCTCTTTGAATCTGACTGTAATTTTACATTTCTAATGTCGACGTAACACGTGGTGGTAGTTGATCTCTCGAAAATCGCGAGCGAGTCAGCCGTTTCGAATACTCGAATGACCGCAGCCGTGCTTGAGATACGCAAGAGTGCATGCGAAAGGCGATCGTGTTTTTCGAAAGTACGTACGCACTGACGCGTCGAATTACCGCCACATGCACGGGAAGGAGTTTTTTTTACTCCTCGTTTTTCTCGCCTAAAGCGGTCACGAATGTCATCTACGATTGGCATATCAGTAGTATTGGCATATCACGTCTTGCAGCACTTAAAGCGTATATAAAAAAACAGTCAGTTCGTATAAGTTATTTTTTGTTATCTAGCCTGTTATCCTTACCATTACCTGTTTCCTGAGAACCAAATAAAAACTGTTTTCTGAGAACCAAATAAAACCTCAATTATACGTGTATTTATTACCAAGTAGAACGGAAAATTACGATAACGTTGACAAGAATAACAAGAAAATGATCGAATCGTGAATTGGAAAGTAGGTTTTTAGTCATTTTTTTTTATAATATTTTTTCTTTGTAGAAGAAAACAGAGAAGACTTGAGAATTAGACTTAGATACTTTTTTGCAATAATAAAGGAGGAGGTTAGGTTAGGTTATCAAGAAAGATTGATAACTATAAACAGAAAAAACTTCATTCTAGAAATTACTACAGGATGCTATCGAAGAATAGATCGAAATTCTGCAAAAATTGACTATCTTTTCATTTTATATGCGATTTATATTGTACATATTGTGTTTGCAATATTTTGTACTTCAAGAACTGAAAAGTACTATAAAAAAATGTGTTATGTCACTGAAATTTAAAAAGTGAAATTTATTATATTCCATAGCAAAATAGACTTTACTGGCAGTCTATTCCTGCACTACTAGCAAAATTGAAAAGAATTTACGTGAAAAAAAAACTATAATATGTATTTTCTCTCCGTGTAGAAATACAGAAAGATTCCTGTAAAAGATTTGCTCTTCAGTCAATTTCTCTCATTTGTCTCAACCGAGTTTTCAAGCAACCGAATGTTCAGATGAATATTTTCGGTCGCACTGACAGAGATATTTAGTTTTGCGTCACCAAATTTTCGTTTGACCTATTCCAATTCCTGTTTAGTTGCGTGCATTGAAATTTTTTCTGCGCGTATACTCATGTTCTAAATGTTGAAACATTTATGATAATAAATCGCCGCTGAAATAAAACGCTACGATATTTTATCGAAGCGACACATGCGTAGAAAGCGCGCTAAAAATGTATTACGAAAGTGCTGGGAACGCGTTGCGAGAGCGATCGCGATTAGCGGTCCTTTGAGCGGTCGGTCCATTGCGTAAGAGTAATCAGTATTGCATTTACGACGTGCTCGCTCGCTGACAGGTGCGCTCGACCCGAGACGAACCAAACGAACGAACGCGAGAGCCGGCGGAAATGTTCAATCGCCATTTCGCACCTCGCGTAAAATTCCCACAACACCTGGCAGAACGGCACGGCAACGGTTCGGGAGTGATTCGATTTCCAAAGAACGAGATGAGTTCCGTTCTTTGTTAGCTCACGCGTATCGCGAGATCGTTCATATGGCCGGTACAACTCGCAAAGAACGAAATAGATCAAAGAGTTACTATAAAACGACTCTACAAGAAGATAATTTTATAGCAAACAACTATTCTGCCTCAATTTATCGTATTACGTAGTAAGCAATTTCGAATTTTTCAGATGAAATGAATCAATTGTATTTCTAAGTCGTTATAATTTTATGAAACAATGTATTGCGCCGTATTGCGATCTGCTATCCTTCGCAATACATCATTCCATAAAATTGCGGCATAAGAATACAACCGATACATTTCGGAAAATACCCGGAAAATTTCCAATTTCGCACATTATCGTCAATGTATTATCCTCCATTATGTGAATTACCAATCATCATGAATTATTTATCACTTCTTAGACATTGTTATAAAAAAAGTTTAATTATTGTTATAAAAAATTTGCTACTATAAAAAGTTTAATAAGTTTCTCAGCAAGATAGATTTTTTTATCTGTTTCTGCAGTACCAGAAAACATGATATTAGTAAAGAAAGATTTATATGAAAAAAAGAAAAAGCTACGTAATATTCTCTTCGTGTAGAAGCACCACGGAGACGTCTATTACAAAGAGAGAGAGAGAGAGAGAGAGAGAGAGAGAGAGAAGCATAGAGAAAGCATAGATAATTAACTCTATACTGAGGAAAAAAATATCCAAAAAATAAAAAATATTTATTCAATGGGTAGTAATAACACATTTATTTGTACTAATATAAAATACTCTTCAAATAAGAAAATATATATTTTTTTTAAATCTGAGTGAAAAAACAGTTCTAGCTGATTTCTTTAACAAAATCAAGCAGGGATTTTAAAGACTCTGACATGTTTAAAAATCTTGTTTGCTTAATTCTGTAACTTGTTAAAAAATACTAGTTAAAAAATACTAAAAATAATTAGTTGCCAACTTTTCCAGTATCCAACTATTCTCGGTCTCTCTAAATAAACACGTTATTAGCATCCATTGAATATAAATATTTATTTTTTAAATACCTTCTTTCTCATCAGTATAGTTACATGTCTTTTATTCGAAATTGTTTTTTTGTCAGGTTATTAGAAATCAATTAAAAGACAGATTAGATAGGACCCGATAGCCGGTGGCATACGTATCACGATTTCACAATTGAACTTGTTATTGGCAAATTTATCTTTCAAAAACAAGATAATTATTATGATGAAAAGAACAATATAAAGAGAACGGCCAGTATCTACTCTTGCAGTGAATTTTTTGCAATGTTATGAAAATTTAAAGTAATTTAAATTTATGAGTTCAAAGATGTTTCAAGCTAATTTTATACGCATACTGCGCAGTTTCCTCGGCAATTCGCGATGGTGTTATTAACGAAACGGTGATAGATTTGCAAGGTTAGAGATACGCGCTGTGTTTGTCTAACGCGCATCTATCGCGCCGCATAGGTTATTTAATTTTGCAGCAAATTTACACGAGCACGAATTCCAGGAAATATCTCGACGGAGCGAACAAGAAAAATGAAAAATATTCTACTTTGAACAAGAAGCACAATTAACGCAATAAGAGCAAAGTTTATTTTCTTTCTTTCAAGTGATGCTGATCCTCTACAAAGAAAATATTTTGTCTTTTCATAGTAGCCTTAAAATACTCTCATCGCAGGTCTTAGGAAAGACGCAAAAAGAAGTATTCAGAAAAACTTATTTTTTTTATAAAAATGTTATGAAACTTTATCGAGGAATAAGTTGGCTCGACTTTTTTTTTATGTAGCAAGCAAACCGAATTTGTCTTTTCTTTATTGATTCTTCTTTTTTAAAGAAAGTCTCTTTATAGCGCCTTCAGAATAAAGCCAGTCACATTTCATAAAAAAGTAAAAATTAACTGTGGTAGACGAAAAAGACAAGAGCGACGAGAAACGAACGAATTTGCGGTCCTCACTCCTATCTAATTTGCTCGCAGATACTGTTAGAATGCTGCTGTTGTAAATTCCCAAAGACATTTACAAATACAAAAAAATCGCGATAAATTTTAACTGCGACATTTAGAATTCCTTGTTACCGGTAAAACTTTTTTTGGCACTTCTTTGACAATAATAAGCATCTGAACGGTGAAAAACATTCGTCGCATTCGTTATCTTGACACAAGACGAATAAGGAAGCGAATAAGGAAGTTCTCGCATCTCTCATCGATGTCTTACGCGCAAAACCTCTCAGCGGGACAAAAAAAAATGTCAGAGGCTCCGATAGTTCATATAAGCGTAGTAGCTTGCGCATCTATTAAGATTGATTATACGCGCGTTTAGAGCAATAGAGCCGCTTAGCAGAACACGATGCGTTCTTCTCGCGGCGAGTGTCACGTGCGAGTCCGAGGAGACATTATTAATATGTGCACGTCGGAGTGCTCGAGAACTGCGCGGACTGACCGATCGCTGGTCGGCCGATCATTATCTATCCGCGAAGTAACATCCATTAGCTAAATTAAGAAAAGATCGACCCCCAATTGTCAGTCAGACGATATAGATGTCGCGGACGACACGTCAGCCGTCATATATGCCTTAACAATTATTATTATTTTATTTGGGATATTAAAAAAAGTTATTAAAATAATTTATACTTTGCACATGGAAAGAAATCCCCATGAGCACAGATCAATAAGAACGCAATTTATTGAGATTTCTAGAAGAACACACACTGCATTCAGGAAAATGTTACGTGTTTTAAATTTATAAATTTATTTATAAATTGGCATATCTGTAGTTCATCATAAGCATCAAATTTATTCAAAATATACTCGGAATCCTGATAAGTTTAGTATTTTAATCAAGAATATTAAATTGAAACAAACTTTATTTCACAGAAATAAATTTTATACCCCACAAATAAATTTTCAAGTTTTTTTTTTTCAGAGTCCAACTTTTTCTTCGATAAAGTTTTACAACATTCTCGTAAAGAGAAGAAATTTTTCTATTGAATACATGATAATAGAATTTTCTAAACTTTATGATAAGTATATTTTAAGACCAAGTATATTTTATTACCAAGAAAATATTCTTTCTTAAAGATACACTGAGAAAAAAATACTTAAAAATTTAATTGTGGCATATAAAGTTCATTTACAGAAATAAACTTTATATCCATATAAATTATCCTAAAAATATAAATTTACAAATATTTTATTTTTAATGTATTTTTAGTAACCATTACTTAAAAGAAGAAAAGTAAATTGAACCATCGCTTTTTTGTAGAATAATATTTTTAGAACAGTAGAATAATATTTTTTTGTACATACGATTTTCAATTTTTATTAAATTAAAAAATTATTGTATTAAATTTACACAAAGAAGATATTATAGTTTCTTTTCATATAAATTCTTTTCAGTTTTAGTATGTTTCTAGTATTGCAGAAATAGACTGTCAATAAAGTCTATTTTGGCAAGAAGCATAGCAAATTTCTTTGGAAATATAGTAAATAGCACATTAAAAATTTAAGGTTTTTTCTACCTCATGCCTATCAAATTTGTACGTTAAATCTCCCCGTAAACGTAACGCTCATTCATTTTCCGCTGAATTGCACTTTAAATTGAGCGAAAAAAATTGGAAGACGCGGCAATATTCTATATAAATACACGATGATTATCGTTATAAATCACCAAAATGCATAGATTATTTACAGTATGAAGAAATATTCTAGAATAATAAATCTCTCTCTTACTCTCTCTCTCCAGAAAGTAAACTTTCCCGCTAATCATATCAGACCGAAACGATCAAAACGACAATTAATCGAGCTGTTTCGATAACAACGATTTTATCATAGAAAACCGGATTTTGGTGAATTTTTCGCGCCTTTAAAATAACTCCGATGAGAAATCACCTGCTGCGAACGACAAGTGCATATGTGAGCGCAGAAATATCAATTCCCGATCATTACAGGTCACGGGGACTTATCCCCATTAAAAACCCGCTAGAAGACACTGCGTGGTCGTATTGGATAATATCAATAATATCTGCTGATTATATTCCGAGCATCGATATATCATTTAACACTCACCCTTTGCGCCGTTTTGCGACTGCTGTTGGGTTTTTGGAACTTTAAACAGCAGATAAAACATCCTCCTAGCTGTGCGATAGCGAGACTAGTTCCTCAAGAGTGAATCGCGACGTGACCGAGTATTGAATATATATACACCGACGTGAAAAAATTAGACACAACGATCATTCACCGTTGGCAGCTAGTTGCTGCACTTCGCGTTATTAAGCATCGACTAACAGCACTACCCGAGCAGAGCCGAGCCGCGGACGCGTCATCTATCTACGATTCCTTCTTTTGTTTACGCCACCGGCTAGAGTAGGGACAACTGATAGCGTTTTCGATCGAAGCGGATTTCATGCGTTTTAGCCGCGGAGCCGGAGCGAGCTGGACTAACTCGCTAACAAATCGCAATCTCGTTGAACGGACACTACCGTTGCCATTACCGTTGGAACGCAGACACGCAACGTTCTTAGACTAAACCGTCCCGGGGAGAGTGAGTTGATCCAGATCAGGAGAAAATCACTTGAAATCGATAAAACATTGTTTTGCATAATGTGTAAAAGAGAGGAAGAATGTCTAAGAAATAAAAATTATTTATTCGACAAGTATTATAGTGTAACATATTTACTTTTACTAATATGAAATATTACTTAATAAAAACATATACATTTTCTTCAAACTTTCCCAATAGTAGAATATTCTATGAACATTCTTTTATATTATAAATATATAAATATCGGCTTATAGAATATTGTACGTATATTCATAGATTATATCAGATTCGAATATTCTCTGAAATTAAGAATATTTATATTACATAATAATATTCATAGAATATCTTGTGCTATCTGGGTTAGCTTTTCACAAAAATAATTGTGATTATTCTATTTAAATGAAAGAATTTAGTATATATATATATTTGTTATTTGTAATAAATAACATATTTACTAATCTGTCGAATAAATATTTTTATTTTTTAGATATATTTCTAGATATTTCTTAGATATTATAGATATTTTTAGATTTATTTCTCTTAAAATAATCCTGGATATTCTTATTGTTTTGATCTTTAAATACGAATATTTAAACTTTCAAGTAGCTTCTAAGTATTCGGATATATGAATTATCTAAATATCTGAAATCGGATATTCGAGTTATTCGCAAATAATTTGAATTTAAAATGTCACATTCACCCGCTATCCGGATAATCGGATACCCAAATGGTGTCAGATCCGAACGAAAATTGAAATCCTATTTTCAACATAGAGTACACGTATATATTTAATATATGAATATATATTTTACATTGAAAGTTTAAATATTCATATCTAAAAAACGAAACAATAAGAATGCCCAGGATTGGATAGAACGTTAATGTTTTAACCTTACTAACAATTATTTTCCTCTAGTAAACTTTATTTTCGCACAAAGACCAATGTTTGGCTACTATGAGTTTAATATAGTTATTTGATCTCAGAGCTTAATATTTTTAGATTTTATTTTGAACCTAGAATTTTCAACTTTCAATGATTAGATTATAAAATTTAATTCTGAAGTGACATAAATATGATTAGATAACGAGATTTCTCTCTTTCTTGTGGAATTATCTGACGAACGTTCATTCATAGTTCGTTATTTTCTGTTGATGATATTCGAATTAAAAAAAAAAAAAGAATTGAGAACGTATTTAAACACATATCAATATCCCTGAAAAGGTTAAAGAAATAAACTGCGCATAAGACGGCTGACGACGAGATTGAGATAGCAAGATGTTTTCTTTGCCACATGATATTGTAGGTAGGATCGATGTAGGGGAAACAAAAAATAGTAAAACAAAAAGATAGTGAAAGAAAGAGGGGACACATTATATGTCTATATGTTTGCTTATCTTCCTTCGTTTTTCCCATCAACTAGATAATTATACGAATTTTATTATCTGTTGCCTCTCTTGATAGTGCTGATTTCAGCTCTCTAACGGGAATTCACAATCTATCCCTTTAATCTATCCCTTAAACTAATGACGAAATTATAAAATCTATCACTATAAATTATATATTATCGATTTATACAAATTAGCTGTAGTTATACAAGAATAATCCAACCTACGCGAAGTAAGTTTTCGAAAAAAAATAAAAATAAAAATTTTATACATGATTTAAAAACTAAAGATAACACTAAGGTCCTCGCAATCGTGCAAGAAGTTAAACAAGATTAATTTTCTTCTCTTTAAAGAAATTCGTTGACAAGCTCAATCCTCAAAAAATAGGAAAAAAAGACGCTACTGGTAGAAAATAGCATAATTATAAAATAAAAATTGTTTTTTAATTACTGTTAGACGCAAGGTTTGGATCAATTTTAGATTATCTGTTAGTAACAAAAAATCAGAAATCTTAGTTTTGTGAATTGGATTATTCTTGCGTAACTATAGCCAATTATGATGTTTCCGCATAAGACGGGATATAATTACACAGATATAATTACTCGATCTGAAATCGAGAAATAAGCAGATTTTCAGTGAACTTTTTAACACTCGAGATAACTTTAACGACTTCAAATTCAAAGATCAGATCTTCATATACGAAGTTGCGACGCGCAATAAAGTAGCAAACACATTGTTTACATTTTACGGATCATTTTTTCTTTTTCTGTCATTTTATCGGCTCGTTTTATCTCGAGTGGCATAATGAATAGCGTGATACCGATCTTTGTCGGAGTTCATTATTCTCTATGAGAATTACATTATTCGTGTTCATGAAAAATTACAGATTTTTATCTTTGCAACTCACTTCGATACAATGATTAATAACTATTGTATTATTGTATTATTGTATTATTAATAATAATATTAATATCCTATATAATATCCTATCCAGTATTAATATTAATCATCCTCTAGAAATGATATAATATCTAGCAGTAATCTTTCAATATTTATCACTGGTGTAAGTATGCTAAATCCAGATAGAGAGCACAGAGAATTCAAAAAAATTTCAAAAAGAATTCAGTCGTATGTCATTAATTCTGAATTCCTTTTCAAATGCAAAAAATTCTTTAGAATTTAGTTCGATAAAAAGAATTCTTTTTACATCTAAAAGTGAACTCAGAATTGGTGACATACGACTGAATTCTTTTTGAAATTTTTTTGAATTCTCTGTGCTATCTGAATTACATACTTACACCAGTGGTAAACGTTGAAAGATTACTGCTAGATATTATATTATCATTTCTAGAGAATTGATGACATGCGACTTCTTTGCGATGAATTCTTTTTAAATTCTTTGTATTATCTGGAAAATATAAGAACGAGAATCTATAGAAACTGAATGGTTGACGAAAATTACAAGAAGAACACGAAAACGTTATAAGATAACCGTATTATTGAAATCAAACATTAATATTTATGAAAGATAACACGTGTATTTTATCGTAGAAATATTTTAACACATAGATAAGCAAAATGATTGTACTACCGCGTCTCATTAAGTTACGTGTAGAGTATAATTAATTGCATTTTGAAGATAGGTTACAAACCGTGAGCGAGGTGAGAAATAAATGCATCTTAAATCCCATTAATTATTGATACGCGTACTAAATAGTAACTTTCTATTAACATTGACATCTTAATATTGACAAAGCATATCAACGGAAACGCATTCAATCGATACAATAGTCTTCTTGATGACTATTATATCGGCTTAATATACCGTTGTTTATATACATCGTCGATATTAAGATTATTTAATAGAAAGTTACTATTTAATACGCGTATCAAGTGCACGATGTAAACCAGCCCAATGTATCATATATTTGATGATGCAAACGTCATACTGCGCAATCAATGGAAATCAACACAGCAGTTGACATAATAAGATAACATAGACACTCTGGACCGTGAATAGAATAATTTTAAAGAGGAACGAAAGAGACTTGGGAACTAAACTTTGTCTCTTTTTCAAGAGAGAAGGATCATTGTAAAAGTTATTTATGCCTATTTCTATCAGCATCGATTAAAACTTAATTTGAGTTTCTCTTTTCAGATAAAGACAATGCAGAACCTCAACTCAAATTGAGATTTAATTGACGTTAATAAAAACGGAGATTAGTAAGCAAAAAAACTAATTTAGATGATTAACTCATTTAGATACTAAAAACTGACTTAGATATTAACTAATTTAAATATTAATTCATTTCTTCGACTCATTCGGACGGGGTAAATAACATAAGTGACCCAATGTAAAAGCAACAACTTTTTGTTCGTGACTCAAATAATCGCCAGACGTTATCGCATTTATGTTAGAAGAAAATTATAATGTCATAATTTATGGTCGTAATTTATCCAGTCATTTTATGGGATTTTAACGCATTTTATAATTTTAGCGACTTTTAATTCTTTAGATATCACATAATCATAACTAACACCATTATCGCTAGAACGCGCAGACGTTAAACTGAGGATATCGTAGTTGTTATTGTTGGTTGGAAGACAATTTTGTCATGAGATTTGTATTTTGTAAGAAGCTTAGGTTATCACATATAGCTGCATGTTCGATCCAAACAACATATCGCGTGATTCTACATTTAATTGATTCAAGAATAGCTTGTTTATGATATACTGCGCGTGATATTTAAGAAAGATCGATAAAATACTATAATTTAATATAAGACACTTTAAAGAAATGTTACAATAATGATCGAGCGAAGGAGATTACACATATACACACACACACCTTAACATCTTACTAATTATTATTATCTTAATTGTTTAACTTTTATAGAATTGTATATCTTATTAATTATCTTAATTATTTCTCTAGGAGCGCCAATGCGCATATAACACGCTTTTAATGCGCATTTAAAGCAGTTGAATGCCAAACGCCACGCGCGTTGAATGCGCATTAAAAGCGCGTTATACACACATCGGCGCTCCTGGGTTAACTTTGAAAATTGGACTTTGTCCCTTTTGCAATAGTAAACAAAAAGGATTATCACAAAAATTTATAATTATAGTAAAAAGAGATCGATACAAGACAAAAAAGAGAGAACCAATGGATATATTAACATTCTGCAGTAATTGATTATATTTTTATTTGTACTATTTAAAAGGAGGGGGAATATATACAATTAGGCAAAAAATACACACATTTAAAATATAATTTAAGATGCATTACATATTTTATACATGTACTATGTAAAATATATACATTTGTATATATTTTACATTTAGAGACTGAAATATGTTATTAAAAAATTATTATGTTCTTTAGCAAGATAGAACTTACTGATAGCCTACTGCTATATTACTAGAAACATAATAAAATTGAAAAGTACATTTAAAAAACTATAATATAATATCATATAATTATAATATAA